ATTCCACATCCTCACCATCATTTGGTATTGTCAGCCTCAAGTTTAGCCATTCTGGTAGATGTATAGTGGGAGGCTGGCAAAGAATGATCTTTGTGCAAAGATGACTTTTGAACAAAGACTTGAAGGTGAGGGGGCAAGCTATTTAAGTTTGAAAAAAGCAAATAATCTAGTATGGAAAAGCAAAGTGAGTGAAGAGGAAATAGTGAATGATGCCAGAAAAGGGGGAATACAAATCATTTGGGACCTTGTAAGCAGTTTTAAGAACTTTGGCTTTTATTCTGAATGAGGTAAGAAATAACTGGACTATTTTAAATGGAACAATGGCGTGACTTGCCTTGCATATTAACAGATTGGCTATTCTATGAAGAATGGTAAAAAATGGAAGCAGGGAAACCAGTCAGAAAGTTCTTCTAATGAGCCAATCGTGAGTTGGGTGTTGGATGTAGAAAACTACACAGTCCTTGCTGAAGCCATATTCCTGAATAGGCACTGATGTTTAGTTCTTAGAAATGTCATCAGAGAATAGAAGAGAAAGTAATGCAGCTCAGCCTTTGTGTTCAGGTAGCAGTGGAGTCTAGCTCTACATGCGTAAATAATCAGGGGTTAAATTTCTCAAGTGGCTTTTTATAAATTAGTAATCACTTATTTCCCCATAAGAAATTTCATATATTGTTGCTTATAATAACGTGTTTTAATTTCTTAACCCAGAGGGTCTAAATGTGGTCCTAATTGTTACGTCAAAGTGTTAAGGTCATTATTTGCTTAAACAAAAACTTAATAAGTGAATATAATTTAATCTTTATTTAGGAATTTGTACAACATGACCTTAAATAGCTCTTTTTGGTTTGCTAATATTTATTAGATATTATAAAACAAAGTATTGAGTGTCTGCAGTAAAGCAAAATATAGTACTAGATGCTGAACAGGTTATAAAGATAATTGTATTTAGTCTTCATCCTTAAAAAAAATTTAGAGTCCCCAAATAATACAAGAGAATACATCTTTTAAAGGAAAAAAATTGAAGGTTAATTAAACATAGTGTCCACATTTTAGAGATCAGTATATAGACAATTACAACACAATTTGTAAATAGAGAATGTAGTACTATAGAAGCACAAACTGGGGAGCATTTGTGCTAAGACAAGGCAGAGGAAAGATAATTTTAAAATAGACCTAGAAGAACAAGTGGGAATTTTCCATGGAGGAACGGGGGCATGGTGAATGGTAATGTCAGCAGAGGTAGCCATTCATCCATGTGAGCAAAAGCACAGAGCATATGCTTAAGAGACCTTTGCAATACTGTCCCTTCAGATAATTTTTATCTACTCATAGCTAATGTCACTCTCATTTAATCAATAAAAATGGTATTTTCTGACTTCTCAAATGTAAGTGACATGCCCTGTTTAGAACCAGTTAACCCTTTCACATTAACTACCAATGCATTTAACAAAGAGACCATAAAAAAGCACCCGAAAGGGCAACCTTTTTCTAGGGATAAGCAAAAATAACAAAGAGGAGAGTAAAAGAAAAAAGCATTAACTGCGTGACAGACGAGATGGCAAGTTGGGTAAGGGGGAAAAAAAACCAAAATAATACAAATAGGTAGCAAAGTGACTTGCTGGACTTGGAGTCTATGAGGAAGCTAGGATTCTTACGTATTCTTATGTATTCTTATTCTGTCTGTAAAACCCATGCTCTTCTGTGTACTAGGCGGGCTGAAGTAACATGAGTGAATACTTATGGAGCTTAGTGTCATGATAGCAAGTTTCATGGACACATGACAATGTGCCTCTGAACTTTCTAAAGATTATTGTTCAGTCTTTTCAGATCTTTTTTATTGTTCATATTGCTATGTATAGAAAACATAATTACTTGCAGTACAAGAAGCTTTTTAAGTTATTTGCTTAATCATAAGTTATAGTTAACCTAACTCCATTTTATGTGGGATCAAATATTAAAGAATTCTTTAGATCATTTAATTTTATTTACTTTGTTCCTTGTAAAACCAAACTTGAGAATTTATGCCTCTGTTATTTTATGAAAAATTATAATTGTTCTTGGTATTTTGGTGATTAATTTTTAATTGCAACTGTGCTTAATATAAATACAATATAAATTTTACCTCCCCACTGTGTCAAATGTATAAGTGGTCTTCAAACATAGTTATTCCCTTTTTTTTTGTTAAACAGTCTTTTAAGTAACTCCCATTACTGCATATGTTAGCTTAAATGTCCCATTACTGCAGATGTTAGCTTTGCACTAGTGAAAATGATACTGTCCTTGAAATCCTTTTCCTGTTTATGTTTACAATAACACATTGTACTTTTTCTTCATAGCATTTACCACACTGTACAATTTATTTTTAACACTATTGTATTAGTATCTGCTCTCTAGTAGAGTGTAAGCTCTACAATGTTAG